TATATATATATGTGTGTGTGTGTGTATATCCATCCATCCATTATCTTCTGCTTTATCCCAATTCGGGTCGTGGGGCAGCAGCTTGAGCAGGGAAACCCAGACCTCTTTTTCCCCAGCCACCTCTTTCAGCTTTTCTGGGAGGACTCCAAGGCGTTCCCAGGCCAGCCAAGAGACATAGTCTCTCCAGCATGTCCTGGGTCTTCCTCTGGATCTCCTCCCAGTTGGACATGCCTGAAGCACCTGCCTAGGGAGGCATCCAGGAGGCATCCTTCCTAGATGCCCGAACCACCTCAACTGGCTCCTCTTGATGTAGAGGAGCAACTGCTCTACTCTGAGTCTCTCCTGAATAACTGAACTTCTTATCCTAACTCTAAGGGAGAGTCCAGCTACCCTGCGGAGAAAACTCATTTCCACCTCTTGTATCCGCGATCTTGTTCTTTTGGTCACTACCCAAAGTTTGTGACCATAGGTCACCCCTTTTCTGCTGTGTGCCTCAAAGCAGCTGGTTTTGTTACTGTTCCTTTAAGATGCTTCAAGCCCCACCCCCTTCCAGCTTCCAGACCGGTCCAGTCCGATTTGAGAGAGAGGGTTACCTTTTCTAGCTTGCAGATCTGTTTTATTTACAATTTAATAACCTTTTTAAATTTAATTAAATTTATTTATTTATTTATTCTGCTCTCGGAGGACTAAGACACTCCTGTGATTCTCTCCTGCCTTCCCTTATCTTCCCTGCTTTGCTACTCAGAGCCTACTCTACATTTTTCATCCAAAACCAAAAATGATGGATTTATTTTTATGGATTTGGTTAGCTGGTCTCTTAATAAATTTTTGGAACATTTTTTTCCCCATAGGAGGATGTCTAAGGTGGGAGCTCTGTTCTGCTCCGTTCAACTAGCTGGGTATACAGTATATTTGGATCCTGATCACTGGATTTCTACAGACTGGCTTGGTGGTCTCCTGGTGTTCTACAAAACGTCGGTGGCTATTCAGGCCATTTTCTGAGTGCCTGACCACTATGACAGATTGCCGTACTATCAACACAGACTTTTGCCTTGAGCGAGCTGGACTCAGTCTGCATGTGGTTCTGCTGACGGTCATGGGCCGGCTGTAGTTCCTGGACTTTGCTGGCGAGATGGAATTGATCTTGGAGAAGCTGAGAGGTCAGCTTGGCAAAATTGTCCACACTATTTGTCATATTGGAGTCACCACATTGTATGTACCAGCGTACATTAAGGCAGATGGAAAATTATTATTGTCTGCCTGACCAAAAACATTTTCTCTGTTCCCAAACAACTGTGAATCTAATTTCTCTTGGTGTTTACGTCGACTTGTACCCCCCCATCCCCACCTCTCCCCACTCTCACCACCGTCTGTAATCTGATCCCTGAAGGACAAGCTGAAGCTGAACAGAATGAACAATTCAACATCATTATTCTGAACTATGGCTGAACTACGGATTTTTTTTTTGGGAGGCTGGATTCTTCGGACTCATCCTTCAGATATTCACACAAGTGCATACAACATTCATGGCTTCAGATACACATCCACTAAACTCACTTACTCCTCTGAATAATAAATGTGATCTTGCTTTGCAGACCACAGCGTGTTGCATTTAGTTGACATAAGGATGTTTTTTTTCTTTTCCTTATCTATCCTTGTGTGGTATTTTCGTTTTTCATTTTAAAGGTAGCACAACCCCTGCTGGTTGTTGCATGACGTGATCACCTGTTTCCCCATTTTTTTGTTATGTGTGTCTTCTTGAATGGATGTTCTTTAATGTAATTTCATTGTGTTCCGTAGAATGACAATAAAGGCATCAATCAATCAATCAATCAATCAATCAATCAATCAATCAATCAAAAAAAAAGATGTCAGCAACAGAAGACTTGTCCATCCAGCCATACATGTTGGAGCCAGAGTCTAACCCAGAACCAGAGGAAAGTTAAGATGAGGAAATCGTATTTGATAAGTCCAGACCATATTTGGCAATTCCTATGCAGGTAATTTGACGTAACCGACTCAGAAAATGTCAGAAAATATAGAAAACTGAACAGGCTGAAAAATATGACCCAAACAGAATATAAAGATATTTTTGCAGCAGCAGTAGAGAGTAAATTCAACTTTTCTGCCTCTTAGAGACTCCTAGTCCACAACAAAATGTATTTAACAGCTAAAAACTTGGATTTTGATATGTCCCCTATTGTATAACATGCCCCTATGGTCAAACTATTTTCAATCTTTTCTGTTCAGATGAACCTCAAATCAAAAACAATAGAAAAGGTGACCTCCATGAAGAAAACCATACAAACCTGTCCACACGAGTCCGTGGTAAATTCTTCACACTTTAGGTTTTCAGGCCAGGTGAAGCCGACGCTGACCAACAGTGGTTCGCAGTCGGTTCTGGCCTGCTGACAGAGCGTTCTGCAAGGACTCACAGCCTTCCCCGAAATGCATTTGGGAAAATAGACGGAGCACAAGAATTGCTTCAGATGAGGGGAGCATCCGTATTGTACGAGGGGAGTAAACTTTTCCAGGGCCAGTTTGGCTTCCTCCTGAGTTCTGTGGCCCAGAACACCGGGCAGCAGAGTTTCTGTGTAAGGCAGGTCTTTGCAGAAAGAAGTGGTGATTGTTTCACATGTTGATCTGGATGTCTCAATAACATGGAAGAGCGAAGCCTGGATAAAAAGACAGCAGAGAGAAAAAAAGAGGTAAAACAAATATATTTATTGCCCACCACCTTTAGTGAAATACTTATTATCTAGTGAAAGAAATTTAATAAAACTGTCAAAACGTAATTATTGGATGAATGTCTGCAGCTGAACCAATGGAGCAATTTGAATAAAACTCTCCAAAGGACTTTTGCAATTAATTAAATGTTGGTGTCACTCCAATTTAAGATGCAGCTAATCAACATTAGCCAATCCAAAGAGGATCATAACCTCCACACACAGAATCAGAGCACCAGTTGTGCAAAATCTTTACTTGAAACTGCGACATTAGCTCTTACAGTTAATGCCACGGATACAATACTTTACAGTATCTACAACTGACTGATGTTTGGGGTCTTCTAAGTCAAGATGCTACCACAGCTAATTTACTTTTGCCAGCACATAAAATGTTTGTGACCTACTACAAATTAACAGCCTGGCCCTTGCCTTCTTACACAGTTCCACTTAATTCTAGTTTCCCCTCACTGTTCCGTCTGGGATTTCTGCCATAGACAATTTCTCCGGTAGAATTTCAACCAGGCCAATCAGTGAACAGAAGAAGGAGTCGTGAACGACGATGTTGACTTTCTGCACCATTTTCGTCTTCCTGTAGTTTAGCAGTGGCAGCGGAGGAAGTAAATGAAGCCATTCATTGTTGACAAGGCTTCCAAATCAAATAAAATTTGTCTCACAAAGCCTGCAGCACTCATTTACAGCCATCTCGTTCGGCTCGGTACTTCTCTCTTCCCAGCAGAGGATGGTTGTTTATAGCATACGCAATTTCTGGTTGCCTTCTTAGCCTAGCTTCCTTCTTGGTCAAGCTGGCACTCTACATAGATCACAGCCAAAACGTTTGCGATTGGGTAAATCAGATCGGACCATTTTAAACTTCAACAGTGTCCACGGCCACGCCTCAAGCAAGAAATTGTTTCTCAATAGCCGAGAGTCCAAACATTCTGTATGAAACAAAGTAAAGAACAAGAGGCTGGTTTTTACCAATCTAACAAATTGTGTTGAGGTAAAACTTGTTTGATAGTAGTTGGGCATCATCCTTAACACACGATTTGAGCATTAACACATTTCACATAATGTTGGCTATTGCAGCCATCTTGATCAAAAACAGCTGTTTTTGTTCTGCTTTAAAATCCTCGTTGACAACATTTGCTTCTTAAGATAAACTTCATCGTCCCGAAGGAAATTCGCCTTGGGTACAGATCCTGGCTGCTACACAGCTCAAAACAACCCACAGCAGTCACATTACATTCCCACATAAAACACACATTCACAATAAATACATTTCAAGAGAAATAAATACTTAAAAGAAGCATGTCGATACAATTTAAAATCTTATAAATACAGATTCAAATTAAAAACAAAAACACGCTTACAGTTTCGCAGGACTCTGTGGCAAATGCTTCACACTTTAAGGACTCGGGCCACTCAATGCCAAACTTGTTCATCAGTGACTCGCAGCCAGCGCGGGCTCGCTCACACAGAGTTCTGCAGGGGGGCTGAGCTCTCCCCAGGAAACATCTGGGTACGTAGACGGAGCACAGGAAAGGCTTGAGATCGGGGGAGCATTCCACCTTCACAAAGGGGGTGAACTGATGCACTTCTAAGGTGACATCCTCCTGAGTTTTGTGTCCTAGAATGTTAGGCAGGATGGTCTCAGTGAAAGGCAGGTCCTTGCAGAAGGGGACAGTGATTGTCTGACAAGTTGCTGGTGAGGCTTGGACTGGTGAGACTGCTTGAGTGAGAGGTGTGGTTTGATCCTTGAAAAGTACAAAATAAAAAAAAAACAACTAAACATCAGTCTGAAATAGCACACCTCAGCTGTTTTACCTTTGTCATTATACCAAATAAACAGGCTCAGTAATGTAAGATTCAACTAAAATTCAAATTTACAATCTTTTATTTTTAGTTTACCCATTTTAGCTGTGGATTCTGAAAGTGATAATGTTTTTGCCTGTGTGTGTGTGTGTGTGTGTGTGTGTGTGTGTGTGTGTGTGTCTATTCTGAAATATAAAAACAAAAACAAAAACAAAATGAAACATACTGAAAACATCTCATCAATCAGTGAATGGATTTTAATAATAATTGGATGCATATCTGCAACTGATTACATTTTTGGGGATGACAGCTGCAGAAAATCAATATTAAAAATTTGTTGAATTTATGTTGTTGTTTTTAAAGAACTGAACTAACTAACTAACTAACTAACTAACTAACTAACTAACTAACTAACTAACTAACTAACTAACNAACTACCCACCCATCCAACTACCTACCTACCTACCTACCTACCTACCTACCTACCTACCTAACTAATTAACTAACTAACTAACTATCTAACTAACTAACTAACTAACTAACTAACTAACTAACTAACTAACTAACTAACTAACTAACTAACTAACTAACTAACTAACTAACTAGGCTATGACTTCGTTTTTAAAATGTTCGGCTAAAATTTGGTGTGGTAGTCGCTAAGTGTCGTCCCAAACTGCAGCGCGTTGCACATCATATTTGAGTAAAACTTTTGACATTAACTGTTGGGGTTAACTGTGTTTGTCTGTTTGCAAAATACGTACGTATCTCATGAACCACTGGACTGAATTTATTGAAACTTTCAGAAATTAGTCTGGTATGTCTACAATGGGTTTTCCCAATTCAAAATAGCCCTTACAGCTAATTAACTTTAGTCAACACAAAAAGGTCAGTACCTCAGAGAATTTTACAGATACTAAAGCTAAAATATATTCTAAACACATACTCCAAGCTTTAACCGTATACACAATATTGTGTGAAATATTGCACATGGTTGCACAGAATATTAGGTTTCACCAAAATGTCTGCCCTCATCCACACTATGGCAGCCCATGTTCATTTTACACTTCTAATAGTTTAACATTGTACATTATATATTGCTTTTATAATATAAAACAAACAGCAAAACAATTCCAGAGATAAGAAAAGACTATAAAGTATTTGATTCACACTCACCTCCACACAGTTGGACTCAGGTAGAGTTTCACAGCGCAGCTTTGTTGGCCAGTACACTCGTTTGGCTCTTAAAGGGGACTCGCACTCTCTCTTGACCTTCTCACAGAGACGTCGACAGGGTTTCACCCGGTTTTCATCCTCTGGGCTGCATTCAGGTACAACCACACGGCACATGAGCATCGCGATGTGAGGCGAACAGGCCGTCTCCACAATCTTAGTAATTTGCTGCATGTCGAAGCCTTGGACTCCACTCTGGTGAAGGGTAGACGTGTATCCCAGTCCCTGACAGAAGCTGGTTGTTACTGGCTTGCAGCTTGTCCTGTCATTTCTCCTTGTTTGCACTGTTTGCACCTGTTGAGGTAAAACCCACAGACACACAAAAACTAAGAAAAAGTGCTTCATGGTTCTTAAAATGATTCAGTGTTGCTTCTAAAGAGGTTTGTTACTATAACGTGTGCAGCTTTCCTTAGAAGGTGGAGACAGAGTCTGCCAGTGGAGCTGCTATAGAAAAGGAGCTGGTTTAGGGTCACAGAACAATATAATGCTCGACACATAATAAAAACCAAAACGGTCTCACAGCAGGGGTTCTGCTCAGAGAAATTCCAGTTAAAATGATTAAAAGCTTTACGGCATATGTGACATCTGGTTGTAATTGTGTGTTTTATTAGTCGTTGGTTTGCAGAGATTGGTGGGCTAGAGGGGTTGTTTGTGACAGAATAGAAGTTGGGAAACTAAAAAATGGAGGTTTGATTTGCTAGATTATTATTGTTTTTCCTGAGAGTTTCTTACCTCTTCCCTTAGCCGGGTGATTATTAAAAACACTTGTACAAAAAGACAGGGAAAAAAAGTGTCTGGCATTGCTTTTGAATTCACGTATTATATTTTTGGTTTTGACAGTTGAACAAACTATGAATCAAAAATCTATTTATGAGTAGAAACATTAAATTGTGACCAAAAATAGTTCATTCAATAAAAATAAAACATTTTAATCAATGTTGCTTATGGAATTTAATGTTTTAAACACTTCCTGTTAGTGTGTTAGTGTTACCTGTCCACATGACGTGGTGGTAAATTCTTCACACCTTAACTTCTCGGGCCACTGAAAACCAAAGTGTCTCATCAGCGGCCCGCAGCCTGACTGTGCCTTTTCACAGTCAGTTCTGCAGGGGGGCTGGGCTCTTCTTAAGACACATTTAGGGGTGTAGACTGAGCATAAGAAAGGTTTCAGATGAGGGGAGCATTCTGCCGTTATGAATGGGGCAAATTGTTGCATCTCCTGAATGACTGCTTCCTGGGTTTGGTGTCCCAGAGTGTTTGGCAGGATGGTCTCTGTGTAAGACAACTCACTGCAGAGCGGGACAGTGATCGCCTGACACGTTGGAGGGGGAGGCTGGGTAACTGGGATTTCTTGATCCTGGAGAAACAGAGAAAAAAAGGGTAATTCTGTTACTGTCAAACTATATCAAGGTTCAAACAATATTCGTTCGGTAAATTGTCACAATTTATCACAACTGTTGTACAACCAACCAATTAACCATTTATTTATGCAGTTTCTTCTATGTGAAAACTAAATCCATCAATTCAGCCATTAACTGCCGCCTTACAGCTTATCCATAGAGTCAAATAACAGACACTGAAGTGTAATGTTACATGATGCTCAACATTCTTTATTTTAACACAGTGGTAACACTGATTTTCTTGCGTGAAAGTTCTCGTAATAATGTGACTTTATTCTTATAATGTTCCAACTTTACTCTGGTATTATTTCGACTTTATTCTCGTACAACTTTTATCTCATAATGACTTTATTTTCATAATAAAAAAATCTTGTGACTCTTATAATAGCTATACGTCATAGAGTCCAGGGTCTCCTCCCAAATGTCCTGTTTAAGTTCTGAAGGCATTTCCCCAAAGGAATCATTACTAGCCCACCGATATCTATTTGCTCTTGTCAGCGCGAAAGAGGTCTGCTGTTCTTGTGGATTTTTGGGCTGTCATGTTCTTTGAACCATTGCTCAGCATTAATGGAGAGATACTACAAGTGACATATACGTAGAATAAAAAATAGACTAGGGAATGAAAAGCTTTGCCTCAAAGCTCAACTTTTTTACCACCAAGGCACAGCACAGATTCTGCTTCAAAGAAACAGTTGCTTCAAACCTCCTGTTGACCTCAGACAAGACATAACTCCTAAATTATAGTCTCATAACTTCATGGGACAGGGGTGATATTTTTAAGGTGTTAACCATTACTGAAGATCTGGAAATACTGATCCATCTACCAGCTGCATCAGTCAGACACATTTTTTTAAGTCAATGCTGGAAGTTGCTTTGAATAACTTGCTTTGAAAAAAGAATGATTAAATAAAAGATAGGTGACTACACAATTCTTGTGCCAGATGAATCATAAACAAGAGTAAAAACATGCTACAGGATACATTGGATGTATAAAGGCCAACCAAAAAGATTTATACCTTAATATTTTGAATGGAGCCTTTTGTACCTTTTCTTAAATATTTTTAAAGTGAGGTCCATAAATTGAATTGACACTGGACAGTTTTTTTTTATTGGGTGTGGTACTTGCTGTCTTTCAGAAACCCTAATGTTACACACTCTGATCTGGACAAATAAGGTAAAACCTTTGTCAAATCTTTTTTTTTACTAACCTCTACACAGTTAGTCAGAGGCAAAGCGTCACATCGGAGCCTCATCGGCCAGAACAACCACTTTGCTCGTAAAGGAGACTCACAGTCCCTCTTGACCTTCTCACAAAGAGCTCGGCACGGTTTCTTCTGGCTTTCGTTTTCTGATCCACACTCGGGGACAACCACGCGACACATGACCGTGGCGATGTGAGGAGAACAGGCTGTCTCCACAATCTGACCAATCTGCTGCAGACTGAAGCCTTGGACTCCATCTGGATGAAGGGTAGAAGTGTATCCTAAACCTTGACAAAACCTGGCTGTTACTGGCTTGCAGCTGGTCCTGTCCGTTCTTCTGGTTTGTGCCTGCTGAGGAAACAGCAGCAGACACACAACCACCAAAAACAAATGTTTCATGGTTCCTAAACACAGCTCTGGGCTGTTTCAAAGCTTAAAGATGGTTGAAACCAGTTTGTGTGCGCTACTTTTCTCAGGAGGTGGAGTTTAAATTCACAAATATATTTTTTTTACATCAGAGGCAATGGTTTAGGGACATTGTTATGATTGTAGATCAAAAATATGCTCAAAACAAACTGTGAGGCAAACCAGTCTCAGAGCAGGAACCCTCCTCTGAGAAATTAAATCCAAGAGCTTATGGGCACAGAGTGTACTAAATCTGGATGTAATGATGTGCACCGAGGAAAACAAAGGGTGGGAAATGATGTCATGAATCTTTCAGGGAAACAATTCAGCACTAGTAATAATAAAAAAGGAATCTGATGGCATGAATGCCACAAGTTTTCTCCAGATTCTTCTCATGGTCCGCAAATGTATGTTAGGTTGACTGGAGGTTTTAAACTGATTTTATACACATGAGTATGCATGTATAGTATACATGTTTAGGCAACATGTAACTCCCCTGATATGAAAATTTACAGAATGTCCAGTCTTCCCTGTTTAAAGGCATTTTAGAGTTCATATTTTTGTTTTTTTAAGACACCATTACTTTTACTTTTTTTTTCCAGTACCTACCCCTGACCCCAAGACAGTAACTCTAAACAGAACTCCAGATGTACACGACTCTGTAAAATCATGCATATGCCTCATCTGTGACCCATTATCATCAGCATCATAAAAAAACTCACAAGCATGTGGAACTCTTTCAATCTTAAAACAAGATGTAATAAAATCTGATGGTAAATTCAACACTGCTGTGTGGTTTCAGAGCAACATCTGGTTGTGATTATATGAGTTAATGGATGCAAATTAGTAACAGAAAGCTTACACAAAGGGTCCAACCTATGGGTAAAAAAGTTTAAATGTAAAGAAACAGAGAAAACCTAAAATAAACACTACAATTTTGTTGTTATATCCAAAATATGAGCTCACGTTATCTTATAAAAGATTAGCCTTAAGTCTGTAACTCTGTCCCTTCGCTGCTCAGATTCTTAAGAAATATCTTAAAACATTTTTATTCGGACAGGCTTTTAATTAAGTTTTGTTTACTGTGCTTTTTTTGTTCTTTATATGTGACCTTTTTTTAACTGATTTTAGTTATTTTGCTCTCTGTTAAGCACTTTGTGATGTTTTTGTCTGTGAAATGTGCTACATAAATAAAGTTTACTGACTTACCAAGTATCTTAAATGCATTGACGGATAAAGAGAGAAGCATTTTGACTGTTCTGAAGCAGATTATAATCAGTGGTCCTGGTATCTTTACTTTACTTGAGTAATTATTTTTTGGGGGGACTTATGACTTCCACTCCATTACGTTTCAAAGACAAATATTGTACTTTTTACTCCACTACACTGAAGCTTGTTAGTTACTTGTTACTTTTGGTTCAGCATAGTTTAGTAATCCACTATTTCTGTTTTTCTTTCTTGAAATGCCACAAAAACAAAACAGACATTTGCTAAAAATCTTTGGTGCAACAAATTTACACGCAAAAATATTGAGCAGATTGGGAACCAGTCAAATATTTTAAATAAACTTTATCAATTGCATAACTGCAATAAAAAAAGTTAACATGAGTAATTGTAGGTAGTGCAGTAACATCCAAAATTAAGTCAATGTAACTGAAATTATAAGTTGGAAAAACAGCTATTTTAAGTGAAAAGCGCATAAAATGTTTTTAAGCCACTTCAGTAGAAAGCAGAACTGAATATTAGTTTCTTATTTTCTTCATCATCATTGACTTTTTTTAAAGAAGAAAAAGAAAGAGAAGAAAAAAGTGAAATGTAATAGGAAAGAGTGAAAGAGATACTATATTAGAAGATATGTGAAACATATATCGAGAAAACACAGAACAACACACCTGGCATCTTGGCTGCACACCTACAGAAACAGAGATAACAAAAACATAGCAAAAAATGTACAGTGTATCTATATAATTATAATGATTCTAACCTAATAAGTATTGAACACGTCACCATTTTTCTCAGTAAATATATTACTAGAGGTGCTAATGACGTGAAATTTTCACCAGATGTCGGTAACAACCCAAGTGATCCATGCATAGAAAGAAATCAAACCATAAATTACCAGAAATTAAGTTATTTGTAATAATGTGGAATGGCACATTCATACACTGATGGGACACACATCAGAGGTATTGGGGTGAAGTGTCTAGCCCAGGTACCCAACAACTGAGACAGCTGGACGGGGGATCAAACCGGCTACCTTCTAGTTCCAGGACTACTCCCCAAACCACTCTGCCACAGCCGCCCTCGGATGTGGCAGATGTGGCAGACACACAAGATGGACGCCAAATTCCACTCACACTCCCCATACATACTCTATACCCCCCAGGTCCTGGACATGCACCCGCCCCCTACAGAGAGCAGCTCACATCCAAACCCAAGGAGGTAGACCTCTTCAATCTGGGGTGAAGAAGAGCAGACAGCCAAGTCCCAGCCCGGGCCGCACCAGTCCGGTCAACCAGCCCCCCTCCCCAGCCAGGCCACCCCCCGGACCAACCCCACACCCCGCCAACGGCCAAGCGTACACCCCCAATCGACCACCCGCTGGACTCTGGCAGCCTCCCCAGCCAGCGAGCTGACCACAGAAACCAGGAGCCAGACTCCGGGAGCCCAAACAGCCCCAGAGAAGCTGGAGTGCCAGCCCCGCCCCCGGGACCCCTCCAAGTCCCAAGTCCGCCCGCAGCCCAGGCCCCACCAGACGGTCAGGCCCTCCTCAGGACCCCATCCCCAGAGGGCCAATGAGGAACAGGGGAGTGAAAAAGACCATAACACCCCCACCCCCACCCTCAAATGTGCTGTTGATGCATGTTGTTATATAATGCAATTAAAATGGGGAAGAAGACAGGGCAGAGGCCAGCACAGTGCCAGTTTTCTCTCCATCCTAACTCTAACCCTAAATGTCTAAAAGCAAACATTGGGAGTGGGCACAGGCATCAGTGGCAAGAGTGTCCCATCCTGCCCCTTGCATGCCATAAGTGCCCACCCCCATCTTCCTATATGTAAATGTTATGAGACTATTACGAGTGAATGTCTAGGGTGTACAGTAGAATTGGAGCCCAGGTGGTTATAGCAAACAGAGATGTGAAATTGTTGCAGTTCATAACACATCTGTGCCCCAAAAACCCTACAAGAGTGTGGTTGAAAAATGAAGAGGGTGAAGGTGTGTGGTGGAGGATGGGAAGAAAAAACTGAGGGAGCATGAATGCTCCCACAGGGGGTCAGCTCCCTCGCAGACCCCGGTAGGCTCCCCCATTTCCCAAGATCCACCCAGGGAATGAGGCCCCAAGACCTCTTCCTCCGGACAGACCACCAGGCTCAGAAGGCCCCAGATCATGGACAGACAGAGCCCGGAGGACCACCAGAAACCGGGACCAACAAACCACCCACCCCAGAGCCATCCAGAACCCTGAGACCCGACCCCCAGCCCCACAGCCAACCCAAAGAAGCTACCGAACACCAGCAAGAATGATTCAGCTGAGAGCACACACCCAGCCGCCGACAGCGCAAAGAGGGACCAGAGCGAGGCTCAGCCACAACAAAGGGGCCGGCCAGCCAACCCAGCACAGCCCCCGGCGGCCACCAAGGCCACCTAAACAGCCCCACCCCAGAAGAAATACTATGCCCACCCCATCATTCAGACAACTCTCAGAACATATAGCACACTAGACACCCAGGCTGGTTTGGCCTATCCCCTGCCAGGGGCCACCGGCCCCACCCGCAGCCAGCCCAACCCCCCAGCTCTTGAGACCCACAGCCCGCCAGTGCACCAAAGGCCCCCCCGCCCAGAGCCGAGGACCAAGGCACAAAGCGGCCCATAGCCTGGCAACCCACCCGCCAGGATTCAAGACCCCCCCGCCCCCCGACCCGACCAGGATCACAGCCCAGGGGCGGCACGACCCCAGAACCCTAAGCACCCATGCCCACCCCGAACCCACCCCAGCACAGCCAGGCCACCAGGTCAGCGACCCATGACCGCCGCTACAGACCACCTAAGAGCATGCATGCAGCCACCAGAAAACATCCCCCAGAACCACCAGGGTCCCCCCAGGGCGAGAACCGCACCCCCACTCGCCCAGGAATCCCCTGCAGCCCCGCCTCCAAGAACCCTCCAGACGCCCCAAATCCCGATG